TTTTAGCAGCTTTTCTTGGAGTTGAAGAAGTCGTCTGAGATGACATTTTCAACACAAACACACCTATGCGATGTTTTTTGCAAACTGATACTTGTAATCAATTAATTAAAGCAATTTACCACTCAAATTTTATTGGTCCGATTTCGCTAATTGGTCAAGGGGTGGAGCTGTAAGTAACAAGGCAATAACAGGGGGAGGAGCCTAATAAGTCCACTTTTTACCAAAGACGTCTACAGCCTCTCTATTCTTCTTACTCGCTCCGCTTGCAGACCTCACCCCGCACCCCCGCATGTTTTGTGCTCACTTTGCTCGCTTTTTCTTTTGTGTGCATAAATAGAGAGGCTGTGAACAGTCTAGATTAGGCCAAGTCCAATTTGGCAGCCACAGGTTTAGAATTTTTTTACATTCAATTATCAATTGTCAAAATGTAGTGCTGCATTTTTCTTACTGATAGCCATACAGTTCTTTAAAATATGTCAGTTCTGAGAATTTGGCAGTACATCAAGACAATACTGGCGTGGATACAGGATCTTAGAAAAGGGGGTTCAAGATAGGGACTGCCAAAGGTGGTCCCTTGTAGGAGGGTCCGAGGGCATCCTCTCCCAGAAAAGGTTTAAAATTGAGGTCCTCAGAAATGAGATTTCTGGCATTCTGAGGCCAAGTCAGTGTGTTATAAAGTCTCATTTTTTTTTTAATTCAGAGAGGTCGACTGAACCCCCCAAACTCCCCCCTCCCTAGATCCATCCCAGCAATACTTAGTTAATGGTTTCATTATTCTCATCACCTGTCTGTATTGTAAAATTAATGAAAAATTAGAGTTTGATCACTCCTCATCTTGAGAATTAAAAGGCCGAGTTTTATTTCCAAATAATATTATTATGGACTAAGAAGTATGGTAGTCATATTGCCTGTTAACTACCAGTTGTACACAAACTGTGCATGTCCAAACAACTTGCTAATTTGGGTGCACTACACAAATAGATTGAAATGGACTTTACAAGTAGATTAATTTCATGTTACTGTGCATCTGTTTAATAACATTAAACAGAAGCATGAAAAATTTGGTAAGAACGAGAAAGTGGCACTCAAGCCGTTAGGTGAGTACGTCACTGAACAGATGCAGAGCAATAGATCAATGCATGGCAAAAGATGCAAGGCAACATGGAATCCACTTGTTTTATATCATTTTAAAGAAACGGAAAAACTGTTAATTAATGACATCATCTATATGTCTCTCCCCTAATAGATCATTAGTAACAACTAATAATATTATTAAAATGCAAGAATAATTGAATGAATTATTTTTCATGATAAATAACACTTATATCACAGTCATTATATACATGTATATGACTCTTACAAGCTTTGTTAACTGTTAGATAATAACTAACCTTTTATAACATTGGTATGTGTAATATGCAATGGTGAATGGTGAAATAATGAAAACAATGATTGATGATCTAAAAGATTCACAAAATTTGTCCACATCTTGGGTTATCCTCTGATCACTGTAAGCGAAAAAAATTGAATATATCACAAGGGCACCAATGATTACATGTTTGTGGAGAAAACTGGTTAATTAGCAAACAAAAATCCTCATTAGCAAAAACAGAGGGAAAATTGTTCAAAGCAAACCACTAGAACAGGATATATGGAACAAGCCAAAAAAAAGTATAGCACAATCGGAAGTTGGAAAAAAAAAATTCCTGCTCAGTTTAAAACTTCCCAACCTGTCTCAGATAAAGATTGATATGGTCTACATGTAATGGCCAGAGAACACTGTGCTGACTGTTCTTCGGTAAAACATTTTACTCTGACTCACAGTGCCCAGTAACTAGCATACCATCCAGGGGGAGTAGAAGTACTCCTAGCCCAGAAACTGGGATAAGCTCCAGCCTGAATTCGACCACTTAGCTTGTATGCAGACTTTGCCTTTGACCTTACATGTAACTAAATTCATAAACAATTATTAAATTATAAGAACTCAAGGAAACTGGCAGAGCTTTCTACCAAGTACTGGAGTTAATTCTTTTTAAACCCTGCCAAGCAAAGTAGAAGTGGTGGCAATTAGCCCAGGGATGTGCTCAGGACTGTTAAATTCATTACCTGAGAACAAACTAACCCAGGGTTTGAACCTAACTATGATCAGTCTAAGCAATCAATAAGCCACTACGCTGCCTGTTAATATACATGTATGTCTTGCCGGCTGTTAACTCACATGTTATCAAGTTTGTCCTCCAGTACATTCAACTTGTAGTAAGCTTTATGCTTAAAATAACCAGAGTGTAGCCGCCGGTCCAGCAAACCACGCCATTTGACATAAAGGATTCTAGAATCATACTTCACTGCGCTGTCTGCCTGCAAAATGTAGAATATAATTATAATTATCATATATAGGACAATATGTAAGCTATTGAGCTTACAGTCAAACCCATATTAAGAAGCCACACCTGAGGAAATGGGAGTACTGGTCACCTAATAGGGGTTTGTCAGGAATTAGCACATAGGGCTTCAGGTAGAAACATCAGTTTATTCAAATACAAACACAAAATGACATCAAGACAATAATGACATCGTGTGTTTGAACCAGACTGAAATACTTTTACAGTTTAACAACTTACCAGGGCAGTGCCCAGAATTAGAAGAGAGGAAGCTATTACAATACTCTTAAAGCTTGCTTTGTCACTGTCGAGAAGTATTTCATAAAATCTACTTGGAATCAATCCAGTGTTGTACACCAGCATTTGCTCTATACACAAAATAAATGGAGGACAGTTACATCATTTGTTAGTTTAATAAACCCACAAGAAGGAATTAAACAGGTCCATGAGCAACTGACCCTGTCTGAGAGTAGACATCAGACAGCATTTTCAAAACTTTTCCCCCAAAGAAACAATTTACACCCTGCTATACGGAATTATGTCACAAAATTATGCTGACCACACCGTGGGGCATTTGGAACTGACAGAGCCATTTCATATGCTTGAATGGAATTTAATTAAAAAAAAATACATATATAGCAACCATAAAAGCAACAGGTTGAGATAGAAAACATGTGTGGGATGGTAAATGGATTTTGGTGTCTGGACATGGTCTGGTATGGCTGAGAGTTTTAAACTCCTTGTGGTGCACACCCCCCACACAAAGCTTCACAAGGCTGACCATCCCTACCCCCTCCCACCCCTG